AAAACAAACCAAAACTTTATGGTGAACGAAGAACAGCTGAAAGATATCATACACGCGGGTACGAAATTTATAACATCCAGGCTATACGTAGAATAATTTAAATAATTTATCTTTTTGAGCCCTGATTTATAGACCATTATGTGACTGTAATGTTTCTGTTATTCACGAACAATGTAAAGTATTGTTTAAAAATCAATTATTAAAGAATGTTCTCTCCTTCTAGCTATCAGGACCAGAAGTTTTGCACCAATTGTGATATCAGTCGTTTGTTTGTTTCTACTGGTGGCATTCATCATCATTTTCGTCGTAAATCATCATTATCAGCTAAAAAAGAAAAGGAAATTGATAGAAGTTGCTGATTTTGATTTTCAAAGTTCCATTATGTTGATTAAAAGATCGTTATTTCGAACTCTTCATCCATCATATATGAGCTTGTCTTGACAAGGCAATAATCAGATGTACGTTATCTGTTTATCGAGTTGTTCAAAGGTTACACTTTCTATTGGTAATTGCGAGATTCGACAGAGTCAAAGAGATGTAATAAATGTATATCTTTAAGAGCAGTAAGTTTGTGTATAGTTTTTTATTATGATGGCTTTTGTGTGTGAATGGGCACAGTTTAAACAAAGAATGGTTGAGGTTTACGTGTTGATGGATTGAAAGTGTTCAAAAGTATATATATCTTAATTTGAATTTTAGACGTTTCTTCAAAACTATTATTATTAATAGACATCCTTCCACATTTTCCGCTAATTTCCTTTTCGCTAATGAAGAGAAGTATTCCTTGAGAACATGGAAGTGCTCTTGGTTTCCTAAAAATAATCAAACTGAGATTTTAAACTAAACTTGTAACTTGATCATTCAACATATCCGCGTGTGTGTGTGAAATTAGGGTTTTAAAATGAATAGATTTTAAAGCTAAGCGTTCAACAAGTGTTTTTTCCAGGACGTTAGTGTCTCCACCACACAAAAAACGAGTCTCAAGTCATTTTTATTTTGATATCTCTTTCCGCTAAAAACAAAAATATTGGCCATTCACCTAAGTTATTTTATTTCTGACGTATTATATTTTAATAGATGAATTACAAGTTTTCATAAGTTCTTATAATGAATCTGAAAAAAAAAGTCTCCCCCCCCCCTAGGGAAACGTACTAGGGAAACGAATGTGTTGTTTATAATACTTAATTTGTGTGATTGTTTTTAACTCATTTTAAGTTTACCTTCTATATAATGTGATATGTGAATAATATCAAGAGTTCAGTGTCGTGTATTGTTCTCTTTTTTTTTTAACCTTTAATGAAGTTTTGCTCAATGATATGGTACTTGTAAGAAAATAGTTTAAGTTGTGTTTTTATTGTAAATTTATGCTTTTAGATGTTGTAGATCAACAAAAACGGATTTAATGTACAATAAAGTTGAATAAATGATAAAGGTTCGAAAAACTTTTAATTTGTCAACGGTCCCTGGTGGCTCAGCGGTAAGCCTGAGGGCTTATAACGCAAAAATTCAGGGCGCGATTCATTCATGGACACAACACAGCTTTACACTTAAGAAAAAATGTAAAAAAAAAAATACACCGAGCAGAATTTCACGACATCCAGTCTTTTTAAAAATAGGCAGAGGTATTTAAAAATTGTCAGTCGGAATAGAACTTGAAATTCGTAATACATTTGTGATGGGTTAACGAAGTCTGATTATATAGTTGGCAAGATAAACTATTTTTTATTGTGATTATAATATTTCCAAATTTTGCAGAAGAGTGTACAAGTGTATTCCGAAACGTTCGAATCTTCTCCCACAATAAACATTTTGTCTTATCAGAGTTTATTATTAACTAAAGTCTACTTCTACGTATATGGCTAGTGATTCAACTATGTTTTGCCAATAACTATTTGGTTAATAATTGAATGTCTAAAGAATGTAACTGTTAGGAAAAGGTCGTTATAAAATATGAGTACTGTACTAACTTTTTGAAACCTTCGCTAGTTGGCACTCTATTATTGGTTTATTTTAACTATCATTTTTAATTCGTAATGTGAAAAAATAAGATGCGAGAAAATTAATTTCAAACTTAAAAAGGTTGATTCGTTTACACAGTTATGGCGTGATAGTTAGGGCGCAATCTGCGGGTTCGAACATGTTTGCCCTTTCACCCGTGGGGGCGTTATAATTTATCAGTCAATCCCACTATTCGTTGGTAAAAGAGTAGCCCAAGAGTTGGCGGTGGGTGGTGATGACTAGCTGCCTTCCCTCTAGTTAGGGACGGCTAGCGCAGATAGACCTTGTGTAGTTTTGCGCGAAATTCAAAACAAACAAACAAGCTATAACTATATAAGCATAATTGTTTACATCATAAAAATCGAGGGATTCAGCCGAACCCCCATGCGTATTATATGTTTTTAACACATTGGTAATTATTAGAATATAAACCTTGGGTGTTCAGAAATGCTAGCTTCTTGCTCTTAGAGTGGACTGAAAAAGCTGTACCAAATGAACAATAATTCATCTTAATTTAATTTCAGAATTTCGAGCTGTGCTTCTTGAATTTTGTTTCAAAATAATAACTTGTGCAAAATTTGTCCCGATTTTGGGAGGAAGCTTATGTTTTTTAACCTTGATTCGTTTTTCATCTGGATTAACTTAAGGTTTGATAACTATATGAACAATAGAATAGTTCGAACATAATAAAGACTAAACTGAAGCGAAGGACAAAAAAAACTCTGGCTCTGAAAAGTATTAAAAAGCTAAAAATCTGTTTATTCAATAAAATCTTGAAAGGAGAATTAAGATGCTACTTCCGAACCCAAACTACGGGTCATGGGTTCGAATCCCAACCAACCAAACATGCTCGCCCCTTTTAGCAATGGGGGGGGGGTCATAAAGTGACGGACAATCCAACTATTCGTTGATAAAAAGTAGTCCAAGAGTTGGCGGTAGGTGGTGATGACTAGCTTCCTTTCTTCTTGTCTTTCACTGCTAACTTATGGACAGATAGCCCTCGTGTAGCTTTGCGCGAAATTCAGAACAAACCGAACCCAAACATGTGAGTAGCTTATTGAGAAGGGACTTCTCTTATCGTTCATTTAAATGTAGTGGATTTGAACATATATTTTTCATAATAATTTACTTTTAACTACTTCTTGATGCAACGAATAACGACATAAAATAATTTCAAATCAAAATGACAAGGATTGGACGTTAAGCATTAATCTCGCCTTAAACTTAGAATAACAAAACACGTACGTTATTTCTTTGAACGCTACAACCCATTTAGTCTCTGATTTTGTGTGTGTATGTTTGTTTATGGCATGATAATAATTTTTCTGCACACATACACACATTCTTGTTATTTTAGCTTCTGCTTTAAAAACATTTCGATTTTAGTTTCTACGTTTGTCCATAGATGGCAGGAGCTATAAAATACAAAGGCTTAATACTGACCGATTAATGTTCCGCGCAAAAATCTTTTAAGATTAAATCAACAACGTCATTTTAAAATACCTTTTTAACATCATACTTTAGATGGTTAACGTGAAATTAGATAACTTCAGTATAATTTAGACTCTTTTAAAAAGAAATCAAGAAACAATATTACAATAATATCATTAAAAAATGTTGATTTCCAATTTGTTAAAAGGAACAACGGCCTAGAAAAATGTAGTGACTGACATTTGTAATGTTTGTTTATTTGTTGTAAAACGCAAAGCTACGCAATGAGCTATCTATGTTGTGTTCACCATAGGTATCGAAAACAGTTTTGTAGTGTTATAAGCCTACAGATTTGCCGCTGAAACACTGGGAGGGCGTTTGTAGTGCGAATATCTTAGGAACAGTTAGTTAATAATCATTTAAGTTATAGAAACAATGAAGAAGAATGTCCCATGTAGTAGGTTTACCACTTAGATACATCTTTTGTCATCCCTTTACCCGACAACTTAATTTGATTAGTATTAATTTTCTGATGAACTTAGCAAATTTAATTAACTCAGTCAGGTAGCATTTCACGTTTTATGATATACAACGCCGAAGTTAGCGAAGCGTGAACTCTATTAGGAACGAGATTACAGAAACGTGACAAGAGGAGCGTATAATAGCACTTTGCTTTATTCGTAGACCACTGTTGACGAGCCTTTTTTTTTTTATATACTACCAAAAGCTCACCAGACCAGCTGGATTACAGCATATATAGTCTTAGTTGGAATTTTTATGTATTTTAGTGTTCGAGGGATATCAAGTTATACTTATAGTTATATAATGCAGAAGCTAAAAAAGCTTGCTTCCTGTTAGTTAGTGCTTAATAAAGTACTGGGATCACCGTTGTAGGATGGTGTGGGGAGTTGTGAGTTTTGAAAGGTAATTTTTAAACGTGATTGAGGCTATTAGTTGGGACGAATGAGGTTGGAGGGTTAGTTTCGTGGTCGACCGCGTCAGTGAAATATCAATTCGTAATGCATCCGAAACTGATTAAAAGGTAACTGTAGCGTTTCTATCTTTAGATAAAAAAGTAATAACCTAGTCCCGATCCGGAATAATTTTGTAAATATCAAGCACTGGATAAAATATCAAATGAGGATTTCATCTTATTGAATTAGTTGGGCCTAAATTGTTCAAAAGTTCATTACTAAGCTAATATTGTTCGAAGCTTCGGTACTGACTGGGGCTAATAATATTGTTCTCAAATTTCAATCCTCAACGGTGCTAATATTGTTCAGAACACCAGTCCTCACCGGGATTAATATTGCTCAAAACCTCAGTACTAACTGGGGTTAATATTGTTTAAAACTCCTATGGGGTGATCAAAACTCCAGTCATTACCAGAGCAGGATCTAGTGCAGTGGTTCTTAACCTTTTTATTTGCTCCATGCCCCACCTCAAAAAATTTGATGCTCCCTTAATATAAAACAAATTTGGTGTTCAAAAGGTATAATAATATAATGTGAAATTTAGTTTTGAGTCACGGAACGTTTTTCGCTCTTCACACCAAAATGAAAATATTTTCTTATTGTAGCATTTTCAAATTGCTCCCCCCCCCAATATATTCAAATTACCCACTGTGGGGAGTGCGCTCCACGTTTAGAATCATTGATCTAGTGTATTTCCTTAAGAGTTCTTGCTTGCACGATTTTAAATTATTCTTCATTGTGGCCCGGCATGGCCAGGTGGTTAAGGAGCTCGACTCGCAATCTGAGGGTCGCGGGTTCGAATCCCAGTCCCACCAAACATGCTCGCCCTTTCAGCCGTGGGGGCGTTATAATATGACGGTCAATCCCACTATTCGTTGGAAAAAGAGTAGCGCAAGAGTTGGCGATGACTAGCTGCCTCCCCTCTAGTCTTACACCGCTAAATTAGGGACGGCTAGCGCAGATAGCCCTCGTGTAGCTTTGCGCGAAATTCAGAAACAAACAAACATTCTTCATTGTATCTTAGCATCTGCATTGTGCATTATGAAATAATAAACTAAAACAATTATAATCTCTTGGATTAAACTATAAATATGAAAATGGTTAAGGAAGAGCATATTGAAGATTACTCAATTAGAAAAAGACGGTATACAAAGTAG